TTTTGTGCTAGGACTGCCTACCTGTTGGCCTTAGCTAGGCTGAGCGTTTTCGGCTCACAGCACTGTGCTATGTGAGTGCCAGGTGCATACTCAAAGCTGACGTCACTCAGGTTTCTGATTTTCAGTATTGACTCTGACAGCGTGGATAGGCTCTTTGTGTTTCTGTGGCTTGTGGAAGGCACATTTTGTTGTCTGGATCATCTTGTTCTCCTTGGCAACCATGAGCATCCTCATCCATCTCGATGCCTCTGCTGAGTGTTTGTCTTAACTCTTCTGGGATTTCCCTCTCACTTACTCTGCATTAGCAGCTCCTATTCAGGCCCCTCCTCCCCCCATGGTGGGTCATTCCGTGGACCTAAACTCTGGCCTTTAGCAGCATTTATTTTTCCTTCCAGGCAAAATGTCAAGAGATAAAATTTCATTTCATTTAGGGGGAGAAAAAGATTTCTTCTCATTTCTTTATGAAATCATTGTTCTTAATCCAACAGTCCCAGTGTTTGGAGTGGAAACAAGATAACCTTTGCTGCACACACACACAAAAGTGTTTACAGCCTGCAGCTTTAACAGGACCTGGCATTTCTTCCAGCAGCAGCAGCAGAGAATGACCTTTCTGTGTGAGCAGCCACAGAGGTCAGCATGGCCCTGGCAGGACTTTAAGCCTTTTCAGTGAGGCCCCTGCATCGCCTTAGGTGGTGGGTGGCACTCTGGGATCCCTGAGCCTCTGTCTTCTAGTGGCTGGTGCTCTGGAAGCCCAGGCCTTCCCCCAGCCTCTTGCCATAGCCCACAAGGCAGGGTCCAGGGGAACAAGCATTTGGCATCACGGGCTCAGTGAAGCCATGGACCTGGGTGTTAGTCTCGTTTGCTGTAGGGTGGCAAAGTGGTTCTGTCATGCATGACCACTTACTTGGTTGTCTTCAGGTTATGCATGTAACCAGATGCCTCTGGATTCTTCTCATTGCTCTCCTCCATCATCTTTCCTGTCACTAGCAGAACACGATCACCTACAAAGCCTGGGATGGGGCACCCCCTCCGTGTCTTGTACTTTTCCCCACCGAGTAAACCTGCATTTGTCAGGAGACCATTCTAGTAGGAAGGAGGTATCTTCCTCCCACTAGCCTTCCGGGTTCTGTTCTTAGACCTTCTTTCCACTGGTGACCTCTGAGAGCCAGTGCTAGAGGCCTCGAGACTGGCCACCCTGCACTCTCCATGTCACCCTTGGTTCCCTCTGGAGGTTCCAGATCAGCGAGCTGGGAATCCGATGCTGTTCGACTGGATGGGCTTGTTGACACCCTGTGCAGACACAGATGCAGTCTCTGGGACCCACCAGCTGGGGTGACAGACGCTTCCTGGGGAGTGGCCCTGGCCTGTTCCATCCCTCCCACATGTGTAGGGCCTTGTTTTTATTGTGACAGTTCTAGGAGAGACATTGGAATTGATATCAACTTATGATCCAAGAGATCTCAGTTCAATTCCCAGTCAGGGCACAATGCTGGGATTGCCAGCTCGATCCCCAGTAGGGGGTGTGCAGGAGGAGGCAGCTGATCAGTGACTCCCTCGTCATTGATGTTTCTGTCTCTCCCTCTCCCTCCCTCTCTCTGAAATCAATAAAGATATATTTTTTAAAAAAATTTTACATTTGCAGCCTAGGTGGTGTACATTACAGACACTTTCCAGCCCCCTGCTGCTGAGAATCCAAATACACCCACCCTCCTCCGGTCCATTTTTGTGACTTTTCCTTTGGTTCGTTTAAAACAGTTACCAACGGGATCCTTCAGAATGCCATTAGTGCAGTTTCATTTATGAACAGGAGAGCCTGAGGTTTCCCAGCATCTTGGATTAGGATCTGAGAGCAAACCCGGTACAAAGTCCACTCTGGATCACAGATTTTAACTCCCCCCACCCTCTGTGGGATGGGGCATCTCCAGGAGGGCCGAACTTCAAGCCTGACTCTGCCCTGCTGCCTGTATCAGGCCACAAGGACTGGGTGACAAGACAGAGGCTGCATCGAGGCTTGTATGCACCCTTGTCTCTGCCTGGGGATGTGACAGTGGCCTTTATGAAGGCCTGGGTAGCTCTAGGAGGTGCCCAATTTGGGGAATGCTCAAGCTCACCACTGGACTTGCACTCTCCAGCCTCACTCAGCCCCACCCCACGCAGCTGGCTGGGGTGTGACCAGGTGCCCACCAGCAGTCCAGTGTCAGCTGCAGCCTCCACAGTGGCTTTCTGTTCCCAGTGCCAGGCAGGAGGGTCCACTCATCAGCAACCTCCTCACGTCCCCACTAGATGGAGGGCTTGGCCTGTTGCCCTGGAGGCCCTGCCAGCCCGAGGGGATGCGTTTGCTAGGCTTTCCTCAGGGACTGAGGGCCACCAGGTCCCCTCAGCATGGGTGTCGGGGTGCATGACAGCCCCCAGCCACATGTGGCTGTCAGGATCTCCTGATGCCGCTAGTGTGACTCAGGAATTGTTAATTTAAATTTAAAAACTGATGCTCAATTCAGTTAATGGAAAGCTTTTCAGTGTGTTTGGAGCAACTTGGGTATGCGAAGCTACTTTTTCAGATCAAATGTTTCCAAGGAAAACATAGCATCAGAATTAAAATGCACTATGAGTATAAACTACACACTCCTTGTGAAGAAAGAATGTGAAATATTCATGACGTCATGTTGATTACATGGTCAAGTGTTAATATTTTGGGTATAGTGGCTTCATTAAAGTATATTATTACAATATTTTCACCTGTTTCTTTTTACTTCCTGAGGGTTGCTACTGGATCATTTGAAATTAATGTGCATCGTCTCCCATTATATTTCTTCTACCCTCAACACTCACCACTCTGAGCCTGCTTTTGCTGGAAATGTGCTTGGCGGTCCTTTAAGGGGGAACACTTAATCGCTCTGGAGTGGTTTTGGTCACAGAATTAGGTCTTAGGAGACCCATGGTGCTTTGAAAGGAACATATTTAAAACAAAAACATTGTAAAGTATAACCTTTTTTTTTTTTACAATTTCCTTTCAGTTTTATTTTGNAATTAGGTCTTAGGAGACCCATGGTGCTTTGAAAGGAACATATTTAAAACAAAAACATTGTAAAGTATAACCTTTTTTTTTTACAATTTCCTTTCAGTTTTATTTTATGTATTGTAAAACATTACTTCTTAATTGTACAAGTGACACATATTTCTTGGGGAAAATTAGCAAGTCCTGATCAGACAAAGTTAAACATACATGGGTTTTCTAGTGGTGTTTCCAGCCATCTTTTGCGTAATCATTAGCACGAAAGCACTGCTCTGCACCATTAGAGACCTTCAAGGTGCTCACCCATGCTGTCCCCCTTTAGAAACCTGCCAGCTTCCTCCAGCACCCTGAGCAGGCAGGGGGCTGCTGCTCCACACTGGTGGACAATGGCAGAGGGAAGACCAGACGGGACTGTAGATGGCTGGGCAGTGGTAACAAGAGGATCTTCTGGAAGCTGGGAGTGCTTGAGTGGTGTGTGAAGGGGTGGGAGGGGCAGAGCCTCTGAGACTCGGTCACCTGGTGGGAGTCCTTCCTTGTGCTGGCAGAGCAGCTGGAAAGTGGATTTCGTGGATTTTGCTGTTTTTCCCCAGGGTAGGACTGGGAAACCCTTTGGTGAGCCCTTTACTTGAGAGACAGTTTTCTTAGGTTGAATTTTCCTAGGGCCTGAAGGAGGGCTGAGGCTGTTACACAGCACAGACTTCTGTCGAACCCAGGTATTTACCGCTGAGACATGTTTAAGAAAACATCAGCCTCTCTGATGCAGTGGCCTGTGACCCCAGATAATAAAGACAAACTGTCCAACACCGAGTGGAGAGGGCCCAGTGTGTTGGGAGTGAGTTGCACCTCATGGGTTAGCATCCCTCCCCCCAAGTTCTGGTGCGGGCAGGAGCCACAGAAGGATAAGAAGGGAGGGTAGGGTCCGTGCACAAGCTGTTTGACGGCGCTGGCATCCCCTGGCCTGCGTGCCCAGGCCTCCATTCTAATCGGATGATCCAGAGAGTTCCGGGCTGTTCCTCTGGGCCGGCTGTGTAATCGGCCCCTTTATCAGTGCTCGCTGGCAGGATACTGAAGGCAGAAATGCAGCGAGTTATGCAATAGAGCGACCCCTGAAAAAAGTTGGAAACCTTTCTTAAAAAGGCTTAAGAAGAGTTTTGTTGGTGAAGAATTTCTATAGCAACCACTTTTATAAAGCCAAGAATACGCTGTAACCTACCCCCTTATTTGTCTTCTATAAAATTAGAGTTTTATCTTCTGATTTGTAAAAAAACAAGACCCTTCTGGACAGGGAAGATGACCTGCCCTGGAGGTGCTCTGGGGAACGAAGTGGTGGGTCTGGGTGCGAGCCGGCACACTCTGAGGCGGGCTTGTCAAAGACCCCCCAGACAAGGGCCGTGACTGATGGCTGGTGCCTGGGCCTGCTTTCAAAGACCCTTGGTGTGAGGGCCAGAAGGCAGCTCGTTTCCCGCGCCACCTCTCTGACGGGTGCAGATTAGCTGTGATTTATCCCTCTCCCAAGGAAGTCGCTGCTGTAGGAGAGAAGTCTCATTTACAACGTGTACCAGAGACTTGCTGAGTGCCTGCATCCTGAATCGTCAGGCTATAGAGACCCAGCAGCATCTCTTTAATTTTCATTCTGTATTTTTAATTGTACAAGCAAACCATACCATAAATATAAAGACATCTTTTAAAAGACTCTCATACCTGATCCTGCTATGTTAACATGGCATGTTAACATATCTTTTTTCCCCCCGAGGTCTCTGTACATATGCAGACATAATCTTTATGGTTATGATCAAGGCAGAAGTACAATTAGCTTTGACTTCACATTTATTTGTATCTTAAACATTCCTTTCTCTTATGTAGCATGTTCATAGTTACCGTGTTGTGGCTGCACGTGCATCCAGTGACTTGATAAACTGTCATTTTCTTAATCATTCTTTATTTGTTTCCTGTTCTTAATGGTATCTTTTCCTCTTTGTTTCTGTAGGAAGTTCTCCAGCAACTGATCGTAATGAACTTGCCCAATGTTTTGATGATTGGCAAAGACCCCCTGTCTGGTGAGTGAAAGCCGCCCCCCGGGGTGCTTGGCCGGTGCCATTGGCTCTGGGCAGCTGTTGGACACAGGGCTCCGGCTGCCAGCTTGGAGCCAGCACAGTGAAAACACGTGATCATTTTGGTGAGGTTTTAAAGGGTGGGTTTATTAACCTGAGGCACAAGGCCAAGAGCACATTTCTTCCTTAAGAACGAATCCTTGCAACCCCTCACATCGGAGTGCAGAGGCCAGGGGCCCGAGTCATATGGTGGCCTTTCTGGGGATCTCTCCTCCTCAGTAAATGTGGAATCAATGACACCATCACAGGGTGGGTGACTTTTGGTGAAAAAGAAAGAATCTGTTGAGGGAACTCATATCTCTCTTCCATGGGGTCCTGTGATGCTCATTCAGTATGTGGTATATCTCACCAGGAAGTCCTGTCATGTCCCTGTTTTTCATGTCTCCCGCTGCACCCTGAGGCCCAAGAGGGCAAGGGTTCCAAGTCCTAGCCTCGGACACACAGTGTAACCTTGAAAGACAGAATGAAATGTGCTCCTGGACATCTTCCAGAAAGTCGGAGCTTAATTCATGCTTGTCAGGTAGTTCCCTGGTGAGTTAAACAGGGCGGCAGACCTTCTCCCCCCACATGGGGTGCGTCTGCATGCACCGTGGCCGCTGGACATCAGCTTGCAGGCCCCAGGGACAGATGTCTCGCTGGCAGGGACTTCCTATGTTCCAGTGGAGACCTTGATGGTGTTCTGGGGCCTCCTGTTGTAGGTCAGGGAGTGCAGGAAGGCTTCCTCACGGGAGAGGCTTTTACAGAGGGAACTAAGCTGTCCTCTGTTGCCATCTCCTCGGGGCACTCTCACTGAGTCTGGTCATCCTACTCCTGCTTATATCACAGTGGCTGAAGTTGCCTTGAGGTGGAAGGGAGAGTGCTCCAAGTGGCCAGCCAAGGACATTACTCATAGAGGAGCAGTTCTCATTTACTGTCATAGCCCTGAGACCAGCAGCAGCAGCTTAGGGGGACACCGGGAATCACGTTGCTGGGGGGGAGGGGTCCCTCTTGAGCTGAAGCTGGCTGATGTGTCTGCCTTTTCTCTGGGTGAGCCAAGAGGAAGAGGTTTCCTTGACCTCTGGTTAGCCCTCAGCCAGGCTGGCCCACAAGCCCTCACACCCCTGCACTCTGGCTTCGATCCTGGCTGTGCACACCCTCGCCCACTCCACACATTAGTAATGGGGAGCCTTTGTTTTTGCCTCCCACTTCCCTCCCTGCCTTTGGCCCATTTGTATTCCTGCTTTATTTCATGGTTCCTCCAGGTAGAAGATACCAGATGCAGCCCATCCCAGCCACAGCCCCGGGCCTGGACACGGCTGGGACTCTCGTGATTTCTGTAGTAACTTCATGAAAGTTGGGGTCTGCTTTGCTGAGCAGAATTGTGTTGCCTCTCCTGATTTATTGAGGGCTGGATTTACTGGGGAGAGAGGAGAAAGGTGCTGAGAGAGGTTGGTGGTTCAGGCTTGGTTCTGCTCTTCCATTCAATCTGGAGGTAGCTGCCTAAGGAGACTTGAGGAAGGCCAAGGAGCAGGAAAGGGGCTCTCACTACTCAAGTGCTTGGTGAAGCCTAGCACGTGGTGGACATTGTACATGTATCAAAAAGTGGGAATAAAAAGGTGCTTCTGGGATGTGACTGTGCCATCCCCAGTTATAGATGAGAAAACAGAGGCTCATGGAATTTAAGTGACAAGCCATCGGTCCCTCAGTCCATAAGAAGAGGTGCTGACTGGAAATCAGCTCCGTTTGACCCCTGAGCCTAAGCTCCCCATTTGTGTCACACACATGTACGTGTTAGGCTGAGCTCTAGATGATTGCCAATATTCAGCCACTTTGACCTACAAAAATGGCATTCGGTGTGGTTCAACCTAATATTAAACATGTTCTCCCCCACCCAGCCACCCTGCATAGCTTGCCTACCTTCCTGTTGATGTCTCTCTCCCCTTCCCTGTCCCTGTAGGTGTCCCCACTTCCTGCTGCCCTCTGGGGACCTCTGATCCACCAGGCATCTCCACACACCAACCCTGGCTCCAGCCCCTCCCTCAACAGAGTCTCTGTTCCAGTCTCTTTGTGAACCACACAGGCTGTAGAAATTGTTCGTGTGCAGAGAGCGCAGGTCCCCACCTGGGGTCTGGCACTGAACGGAAACATCTGCAGAGATGTGGATGCTGATTTTTTTAAAAAAGAACAACAGCAGCTTTATTAAGGTGTAATTTGCATACCATAAAATTTATCCACTTTAAATGTATGATTTAGGGATCTTGTTCATAAAGTACAGAGTTATGCAGCCTTCACCACAATCCAGTTTTAGAACAGTATTGGGGAGCTGATTTAAAATTGTGACACGTGAATAGGTACCCAGCATAGTATAAAACTGATAATCATCAATCAAAGAGGCTGCCCCCCCCCCC